AGCAGGGTGTCACCAATGTACTCCCTCCGTCCGAAAATACTTGTCGGAGAAATACATAAAAATGGATGTATCTAGCTAAAAAACATTTAGATACATTCATTCCTCTGACAAGTATTTTCGGACGGAGGGAGTACTAGATTATGGGCAATTTGATGTTTGGGATTGTGAGGGGAGCTTGAGCAACTCCGATTGATAGGCTTTATGAGGGACACATGGGAGGAGGTAGGCAGTGACAAAGAGGAGATGTGAGAGTGTTACCTTGTCTGATCCCACGACGACAATAAATTTCTTTCTAGGGACATCATTAAGAAGTACTCCCTCCGTTCCAAATTACTCGTCGCTGAAATACATCTAAATACATCTATACGTGCGACAAGTAATTCGGAACGGAGGAAGTAGAAAACATGTACTGGTGGAAATGATGGAGCTATGCCCAACAAAGCCCAGATGCTCGGAAACCCATGTGATACGGTTGTGATCAATGTGTATGAGGACTTTCCAAAATCAAATGTAAGCACGAGAAGAAGAGTTACTGTAAAGTGGTAAGCCGATCCTTCGCTCTCGTGACTGCGTCGCCCCCGGCGTGCGGCCGGCCGCGCACCTCTCTCTCCCGCCTCCAGCCCTCCTCTCCCCTTCCTCCCCGCCGCGGCCCGGATCTAGGCCCTACGGGGCCCATCTGGGCCTGGGCGGGCCGGCGGCGGGGCTGGTTGGCGGCGTGATTCCCGGGATGCAGGGGAACGGTGTTGCGTGACGGGGGCTGGCGGCACCGATGCCAGCTTGCTGCAGCACGGCCGGCGGGGCTTAGCGGGCCTGTTTCGGGCCTGGACGGGCAAGGGGTGGCCTGGTATGCCCCGCCGCCGTGTCCGGTCAGCTACCGCGACAGTGCCGGAGGCTCGACTTCTCGCACGACGACGGTGGAGGTGGTTCCCTTCCGCTCGGCTTTGGTGTTGTTGTTCTCGTCGCTTGGCGCCTCTCTCCGGTCTTCTCGGCCTCGTTGTGGTCCTCGTAGTCAGACGGCGTGGGCGGCGGCGCAACCGCGGTGGCGCAATGGGTGGTTGTTTGGGCGGTGGTGTTTGGTGTGCGGGAGAAATCCTTGCCGGTTCGTCTGGCGCCGTTGCGGTGACACCGGCGGGTGCCACCATTCCTTCTTGAAGGGCGTCGGTGGTAGCCATCCCCTACTTTCCTCCGCATACCGGGAGAAACCCTAGGACTTGTCCGGGCAGCAGCGTCATTGGCGTCGCACTCCTTCTTGGAGGTGCTGCTTGGTATGCGGCACTCGGAGCCTCGGGCTGTGGTGGGGTGTTTCCGGAGGGCGCAGCAGTGGCGGGCCTTCCGCGCTTTGTCGATCTGCCGTTGTTGGCATTATGTTCTTCTCCTTTTTTGTGTTTTGGCTTGTTGTGCTGCTCGCCCCAGCGTCGAGATGTATCCTATGTTGGCTGGTTGTTTTGGACTACAAAGCGGGGGGAACCCTTTTTCGGTAATGTAAGAACGATAGTTTACTGTGTTTTTTGTTGTTGAATACAAACGAGGAAATCTTGGATGGTCCTCCCACTGATGGTTTTTGTGAATGAGGTTAATGAACCCCTGCAATTTGCTGGCAAGGAGTTTAGTGACAAGTTTAAGGCTAGAATTTAGGAGGGAAATGAACACCTAATCATTGGTTGCCCTAAAAAACATCTAATCACTGATGATTTCTGGGGGGAAACCTTAGAGATTTCGGCATTGTAGGTTTGATTAAGACCTGATGGAAGTCGTCACAAACAACAAGTCCCATTTTATTCTGTTTCGGCACTTCTTTAGGAATAGGCACTTGAAGTCATCATGCCCAGGATACTATCAATGGGGATATTATGGACATTTTTTTTTTCAAAAAAAATCTCTGGTGAAAAAGGCGCAGGTAAAACAGAGAGACTCTCATGGGCCACGGCGATTGAGAAGTGATTGAGGTTAAAATACATGGTATGTTTCTTTAGGAACTTGCTATGCTTTATTGAGCAAACGAAATGTTCATCGAAATATAACGATGGAAGGTGTTCCAGATGACCATTTCACGATCATACTTTACGGCCAAGAAGATACCTTCAAGATAATCCGCACCATTCTACATGATTATGAATTGGCCTCGGGACAGAGAGTAAACCTCCAAAAATCTGCCATTTTCTATGGCAAGGGGAGTACGGAAGATATGAAACAGGAGGTGCAGCAGATTATTGGCATCTCTGTGGAAGCGAGTGAGAGATATCTCGGGCTGCCGACAGTTGTGGGAAGATCAAAGGAATGAACTTTCAAATATGTTAAGGAGAGTGCTAGAGGAAAAGTGGGTGGATGGAAGGGACAAGGATTGTCCAAAACTGCAAGAGAGGTGCTTGTAAAATCAGGCCTCCATCAACACCAACCTTTACTATGAGCTTTTTCCAACTCACAAAGAAAATGTGCGGGAATCTGTCAACTATCTCTTCAAACTTCCGGTGGGGTGAAACGAATGGTCAAAGAAAGGTGCATTGGATCGCCTGGGATAAGATGTGTACGAGGAAACATGAAGGGGGTCTTGGATTTTGCGACCCGGAGGCGTTCAACCAAGCTATGCTCGCAAAACAAGCGTGGAGGTTGATGCAGGACCCGAACTCTTTGTGTGCCAGGGTTTTGAAGGCTCGGTACTTTGTGGAAGGCTCCATCCTTAATGCTACCTGTCCAGACGGGGGCTCCTTCACATTCAGAAGTATCATACATGGCAGGAACCTCCTGTTAGATGGGCTGATATGGAGGATTGGAGATGGCACAAGTGTGAAAATTCACCATGATAATTGGATCCCACGGAAAGGAAGCTTGAGGCCACTAGGCCAAAGCTATGTACATGGGATAACGCATGTAAGTGATCTTCTTAACGAGCACGGCAACGCTTGGGACCAAGCAAAGCTGCAAGCTATGTTTCCCCAGGACGAGGTGGATGATATCATGCAAATTACGATTGGAGGGCCGACGATGGAGGATTATCTAGCATGGAATTTCACCAAAGATGGTGTCTTCACGGTGCGGTCGGCGTACCACCTACGGATGACCCAGAAACGACTGAAAACGGGCCGACCGGAAACATCATCTAACGTGGCGGACCACAAGGCGTGGATGAGCTTATGGGACACCGTAGCTCCGGGAAAGGCTAAAATGCATATGTGGCGGCTCATTTGGAATGGGCTAGCTGTCGGGGCTGAACTTCATAGGAGGAAGATCAAAGACGGGGTGCGATGTGTAGCATGTGGGAGGGAAGAGACCAACTACCACAGATTTTGGGGCTGTTTTCACTCAGCGAAGTTTTGGAAGATGATGCAATCGGAGATGAGGGTGCCGGTGGCGATCCCACCGGAGTCAGTCAGCCCCCAGACTACATTATCAAAATGGCTCTTGACATGGTTTGCTGACGCATCCGACGATGCAAAAGATGTCCAGGTCCAAGGGGTATATGCTCTGTGGCTCGCGCGGAACAATGCAAGAGAAGGTCAGAGAATAGAAGAAGAGGGAGCAATTGCGAAAAGGGTAATGCACCTAATGAAGGAGTGGCAGTCCATTCATGGAAGGAAGAGCAGGCAAGCATCGCAGGTCCAACGGGAGAAGTGGCAACCACCAGATGATGGGTGGATCAAGGTAAACGTCGACGGTGCTCTGTCCAAACTGGGGGAGATGGGAGGCGCTGGAGTTGTGTTCATGAATCAGGAGGGGGCTTTCTTGGGAGGATCATGTCATGCTTATCCGAGCTGCAAGGACCCGGCAAGAGCAGAACTATATGCTTGTAGAAGAGCAGCTCAGCTCGCAACAGAACTCAATGTACAAAACCTTCACGTTGAAATGGACTGCAAGGAGATCGTTTGCAAGCTGAGGAACAAGGGGGAAGGATCTCTCGGAGCTGGGACCGATCATCGAGGAGGTTAAGCAGATCCTGACTTCGAGAGAACGCTGGAAAATCACATGGGTTAGCCGATCTACTAACGTTGCTGCACATCGGTTAGCTAGGCATGGAGTGGCAACTAATTTATGTAATGTTTGGTTACATGAACCACCTGACTGCATTCTGCAGGTTGTATCAGACGAAATCCCTAGCTGGGAGCTTTAGATAAAGTTAAGATGTGAGTTTCAAAAAAAAAAAAAGATAATCCGCACCACAAATAAAAAATAGTCCACACCATGACCCATGAGAGTCTCTCTTTTTATTTTACTCCATCCGTTCGGAAATACTTGTCGCATAAAATAGATAAAATTAGATGTATCTAGAACTAAAATACGTCTAGATATATCCATTTTCCCGACAAGTATTTCCGGACAGAGGAAGTATTTGATATAGGCAATAAATATTGTCCAAATGCCATCATCAGAAACACCTTAAAAATGCATATTATTTTTAAGGGGAAAATGGCAATAATTATGCATGAATTTGCATTTTATTTAACACATCACAAATGAGTGTAGCTTGTCTCTATTTTTCTTCTTCGGTGCTCTTACATGTTTACAATATAAACATATATGAAAAAAGCCAATTTTTTGATTCACATCGCAGGCATGCACACACCGCCACTTGTTTATCTTTTTGAAGAACCAGCAGTTTCAGAGAATACAAGCACTAGCAATGCATGAAAATACATGATTTTATTTATCGTGGCTGAATTATTACATCTTGGTACCAGTTACCATAAGTACCCCCCTAAAAGGAATGCATCCCAAAACTATCTCTCTAAAAGGAATGAGCCCCAAACTATCAAAAAGGGAAAGAAAAATGGCAAAAAAAAACTGAGAAAGGGGCTAAAGGTATGTATTTGTGTGCTGTGGAGAAGAGTGGTCTACCTAGGCATGACTGACTGTAATGTGTTGAGACATTATTTACACAGAAAAAAATGATGATGCAACTAAAAAATGTTTGATTTTTGTGTATATGCACTGTCTATATGCTAAAGGAATATGTAAAAAAGGGAAAAGAAAGAAAAAGGATCGATCAGATCTAATCAACCGTGAATTTATGCTGCATCTGGGTGTAGTACATGTTGGTGTTCATTGGTAGCCTTGGCGAATCTGCCCTTGACTCGCTTTCGCGTGTCCGCCCTTGCTTTTCGGGACGCATACATGATCTGCTTGCAGAACCTGCAAAATTGTTTCAAATTCAAATTCACATCAATTGCTTTTTTTGTCCGTATATAGAAGAGTTGTCAAATGATAAATTAATTCAGACTTACTTCCTGTTCTTCTTCTTCTCGTTGTACCTTTGCTTGGCCCTGTCCCTTTCCTCTCTCTTCTTACTAATGGTGCTCGGATCTTGCTGATGATGAGCCACCGCTGCTTGCTCATCCGCGGTCAGCATCTGTGATGGCCGGTTGGCATGATGACAGTCAGTGCCATTCTCCGGTGGTGGTGGCGGCGATATTAGGGGCAAGGCAGGGTAGAAAGTAGGGAAGTCATCAAGGAGCAGCGATGGATGATGATCGTTGCCCATGGATTGCAGAAGAGTAGTCGATGTCATGGCCGGCTGGCACGATAATGTTGATGGGTTGTAAGATGATGAGATGTGGCAGATTGACGGTGGCAGCTGCTGCTGTTGCTGCCAAGAAATTAAACCAAGCAATGTTATTTGTCATTGCCAAATAACTGGGATGCAAATTAATTTTGTTAATTAGCAGTGTGAGTGAGCGAATGAGTGGTATGTATGTATGTACCTCAAAAGTGAGTGAAGGCCCAGCTAAGTGATGACCAACAAGTACTCCATTAGTATTCTCAAGCACAGAACATTGTGGAGCACAGGTAGTTGAGCAGCCATTGTTCCAATCATCACAGACGAAGCTACTGCTGTTGGGGCCTCTTTGATCTCCTACTATTGTTGTTGTGCCACTCGCATCGCAGATCTGAGATCCATCCTCCATGAATGTAGTGAGAGCACCACAAATTAACACAATGAGTACTCATGCGCCATCCTAGTTAAGAGGTAAGAGAGATATTCAATCGTAATTAGCCGTCGATTCATCGAGGCGGCGGAAACCATCTTGGGACTTGTAGCTTGCATTTGTTGGCTTTATGCGCTAAAAATGAAGGTTTTTAGACGATTCATTTACCTTTGTACAATTCGCTCAACTAGAGAAAGACATCCTTTCTTTTACCATATACTCCATTACCAAATGAAAGTTATTTTTCAGATTTTTAACTTGGAAGATCGATACTTAGTCTCGATCCATATTTAACAGTCCCCTGTTTTCCTTGAAAAAGCAAGATTGCAATTGCACATTTTTCATACTCAAGTTAGTACATTTTGTTAAGAAAAAAACCCTTCAGGTGTGCCTTTTGTTTCTTGAGGGTTCACTGGTTCTGTAGTATCTGTGTAATTTTTCTAGAACTCATTTTTGCTTTTTATGTGATGTATACAGTCAAACTAACTAACATGCGTTCAATAGTGATTAGAAGGTACTGTCAGTCAGTTAGTTGGATATAAAGATCAAGCTTGGTACCACAAAAATTGAGAGGAGAACAGAACATTCATGGTAACCTTCATTAATCATTTCATCTGATCCCACAATTACATGTTATCCTTCATTAATCATTCATATGATCCTTAGATCATCGATCCACCATTACATGTATTAGGAAAGAAATCTTCATTTTTTACATCACAGATAGCACACTCCCCACTTCCTTTTGTTACAATACAATGTAGGTAGTAGCGCCAAGCCTATATCATTCCCTTGACTCACACTCTCTCACTCACTTTGTATTGTCATCATTCTCTCTTCTACATATCATTCTTTTGATCGATACATAGAAGCACTAATCACTGAATTTAGCTGCTGGATCACACACAATGTATCACACAATCAAACTGTCCAAGGAAGATTTGGCACACAAGAAACAAGACGATCAAGAAGAGTCTCCCACAATTGCACATACTGGCGCAAAAAAGAAGTGAAATTTGGAAATAAACCCAGTAGATGTTGTACCTGAACATCCTGTAGGATTTGGGGTAGGTTGTCGGCGAGCCAGGCGTCGAAGTCCTGCTGCGACGATGACGGCGCGTCGACGGAGAGGGTGCGGAGGACCTCGGCGGGCGCGGGGCAGCCGGTGTAAACCTCCACGAGGGAGGCGCCGCCGCGGCCGTCCGCGCGGCCGTCGGCGCAGTCGGTGCAGAGCGTGGCCCGCTGGGCGCCGATTTGGCAGCGGAGCGCGGCGGGCGCGGCGCAGCAGCCGTCGCAGAGCGGGGCGCGCGAATGGAGGCTCGCGAGCTCGCTGGCGCCGTGCACGGCGCCGTCGCACTCGAGGCAGAGCCTGGCGCCGTCGGCGAAGCAGAAGACGACGGCGCGCTCCGTGACGCAGTTGCTGCACCTGGACGACGACGATGGGAGCAGCTGGTGGTGGTCCGCCATTATGATGGCGCGTGCGCAGAGTGATGGCACTCCTCATTCATCTACCAGCGCATCCGCACTGCACGTGCCAAGGGCGGCGATGGCGAGTGGACGACGGACGGATGGGGCGGCGGCGCCGGCGAGGTGGGGGTCTAGAGGTGAAGAAATAGGCGGCGGGGGCTGGGGGGGAGGAGAGGCCCGGAGGGGTCTTGGCGGTTGGTTTGCGGTTGACGGGCGTGCCAAGTCCCCACGTAATGCGGGCCACGGCGGTTAGTTTGCGGGCACCGACTCGCGTGGGGGTCCTCGGCAGGCGGCGGATCTGGCGAGGCCCTCTGCTGGTTGGCGTCAGCGCGGTCTCGTGGCAGCGGCGTGAGGCCACGGCGGTGCTCCTCCCCTTTCCGCAGGCACATTGGACTCGAGCATGCGGCTATCCACGGCGACCGTCGGCTGGGGCTACCATGTAGCGGGGCTTTGGAGGTGGTCATGGCCGGTACTGTGAAGGTTGCGTGCGGCTGGAGTTGCTGGTGCCTCTGTTGAAAAAAATTTAGGATCATGCAGGAATAGCCCTTCAAGGCATATTTTTACGAGCACTCGTACACAACAGATATCTGTTTATCCATGCTCTTGTCAAATTGCAGCTCACGGCTGGATTGCCATCGTGCAGCTGTCATGAAGATAGTCCTCGTCCGCACATCAGTTTCGTATTTTTATAAAAGAAGAGTTAATTGTACAGAAGTACCACAATTGGGGCATTGGAAGCAGATTGGTATCAGGTTTGGTAATTTTTACGTGTCAGTATCAAGTCTGGGGCTAACCCTTACAAAAAGGTCTAAATCGCGTATAAACGCGTATTGACGGTGTATCTGACCGGCGGGGCCCGCCTGTCAGGTGCTGATGTGGCATGTTTTTTGCTGAAAACCCCTTTGCTTTAAATGCCCTCCCATCCCCATCCCCATTTAGATCCAATCGAAACAAAGAGGGCTACGATTCATCGCCGTCGCCGTCTCGAGACAACGACGCCGCCCCCCACGACGCATCCACAGTCGTCGCTGGCTCCCTCCTTCGCCGGCCCTGAGCTCCCCTGCGACCGCCGCCTCCCTCCGTCGCCCGTCTCCTCCAGTGCCCGTGTGCCCATCCGTCGCCGGCCCCTCCGCGCCGACCCGTCCCCGCCGGCTTTCTCCTGCCTGACGCCGATGACGAGGACACGAGCGGGAGCTGCGGCAGCGAGAAAAGAGGAAAAAGAGAGGGGAATGGAGGAGGGCTCACTGGGGAGCTCGAATCCGAGCTCAGGGAAGCCGGGGGCGGATCGTGGCGGTGGGAATCGGCGGCGGACGACGGTGACGCGAGGTGAGGATGGAGAGGAAGAGGAACCTCCTGGTGGCGCCCATGGAGCCGGGACAGAAGGAGGAGAAGAGGGAAGGCGTCAGGCTGGAGCCTGGAGCTACGGGAGGACATCCATGGCGGCTTGGCGTCGGGCTCCGGCTAGGTAGGGCGCTGGCGCGTCGCGGTCAACGGGAAGGCGGTGGCTCGATGCAGGGACTCCGGCGTCGAGGGACGAAGGGGAAGGACAGATCCGAGGTTCTCCAGCGCGGATTGGCCGGGAAACAAGGCGGCGCGTCGGGCTGGAGCTACGGGAGGCCATCAATGGTGGCTTGCCGTTGGGCTCCTGTCCAAAGGGGAAGAGAGGGAGCTCCGGGTGAGAGAGAGAGAAGAAAAAATGGAAGGAGGAAGAGAAGGAGAGAGGCAGGTTGCGGGGACGGCCTGGTCCTATTCCACGGTGATGGTGCTCCGGTGGCCGGCCGACGGCGAGGCGGGGCGGAGGCCGGGGCGGGGCGGGGCGGTGGTTACGAGAGTCGAAGGAGCTCGGGCTCGACGGGAGCCCCTCGATCCAGATCGGGCGCCACCGCGTGTGGGTTTTTTTGCAAATTACATGCCACGTCGGCACCCGACAGGTGTGCCCCGCTGGTCAGATACCCCGTCAATACGTGTTTATACGCGGTTTAGACCTTTTTGTAACGGTTAGCCCCAGACTTGATACTGACACGTAAAAATTACCAAACTTGGTACCAATCTGCTTCCAATGCCCCAATTATGGTACTTCCGTGCAATTAACTCATAAAAGAAACTCTAAGCACCATAGGTCACTCAAGTCTCAAACCTGGATGAACAAGCATGCTCCTTGCGGGCCTAGCCAATAGGGTGATATGTTCTCGTGTCTTCGTTGAGAGCTCGAAACCATATATGACGGGGCGCTAGCTGTTGCTCCATAGGAGTGGGTGCAAGGTGGGGCGTTGCACCCCTGGCCGTGACAGACTATCCCCGTACGTCGCCCAGTGTGTATTCTCTATGGCCTTTCTAAGTCCGTTTCATGGTAGTCACAGCGGTGAGGCAGCTAATTTCCCTTCAATGGGTGGCATATGTTTCAAAGATTGATGTCGGAGTGGCTACCTCAGTTGGCTCTTCAATGGGCCTCGTGGTGGCGGTTGTGGCTACACTTCTTGCTGATGTGTAGTGGCGGGTGACCCAGCCTTATCCTTTGTTGGAGGCAGTGGCGGCACCCAAATATGGTTATGGAGATCTCTACTTGGTGTGGCGAGCCTTTTTTTGGGTCAGGCATGCTGACGTGCATACCTCGTCGTGGCGTGGATGAACTACCGAGTGGAAGCTCTGCGCTTTGGCGTCTCCCACGGTGTTGTTTTTCTCATGAGGACGTCCGCATGGTCCTCTCCATGCCAGGGCTCCAGATGAAAACCCTTTCCCGTTCCTTTAGACTCGACGACGGCGATGCTATGTATCGTTACCCTGTTGAGGGCGCTGTCGTGGAGCTCAGATGCCTTAGGTCATATGGAGTGGCACTGGCTTGAGGCCCTCGTGTATGCTCGACTGCTTAGTCATATTATTTTGTGCACTTAAGCATTGTTTTGGGGTAATATTTATTAACTATTTATTCCTTGATCTGCTTTGTAAAGGGACAATGGGGCAAAACCATATTTATAGTTTTCGGAATCTATAAAGTAGAAAAAGCGAAGATAAAGGAGAAAACAAGTTGGATACTTGGCAGGGTAAATATATTTCTTAGTTGGTAAATTAGTTTTATTAAGGTTCAGCTTAAGCAACATCCATAATATATGATGTCTTTGTTTGTGATTTCTAAAGAACCTTTTAATACTAAAATAGATTGAACAGGGCTAACACTCATAGATATCATCTTGCTAATTGGCTGCCAGCCCATATACCATGGTGGCCTGGGGTCTATATATTTGGAGGTCACATATTTATGCTTGCTCAGTACCAGATGGATGGGTATGGAAAATTGAAAATTAAGATGGTTTGTGCAAAGAATGATAGTATCAGATCTGCGGGCCTATGTTGTTTCATCCTATT